GGGGGGCACATGGTCCCCTCACTGCCTTGGCTCTAGGGAGGTGGGGGGAGATGGGGGGACATGGGGGCTCTTCTTGGCTCTGCCAGCAGCGAGGTGAAGTTATTTCAACTCAGTTTCACACCTCACCTTCTTGTACCCCTTCAGCTGCTAAATGTTGGGAAGGGGCAAGGGTTGAAGGCTAGAAAAGCCCCTTTTGCATCAATCCTGCCCATCACGCCTGCCAGGCTGCAGGCAGGAATGGTTTCTCCCCACCCACGACTTGTGATGGATGGAGGGATGCGGAGGCTCAGACTTCACGGCTGAGCTTCCAACTCCTGTTCGAGGGCTGGACTCGTGGGGGCCATGGGGGTCGCAGGGATGGCAGCGCTGCACTCACTTGTAGACGTCGTTCTCGATAGGCAGCAGGTCGTAGCTCATCGCCTGGAAGGTCAGCTCGTGCAGCACCGGGGAAGCAGGGTCAAAGCCGCGGTCCAGGATGAGGAGCTGGGAGCGAGCTTTGTCCGGACCCTGCAGAGCCGAGGGAAGCCGTCAGCAGCAGGGCTGGGGGCTTCTCCAGCCCCACAGGCGGTCAGGGGAAGCCGGGGCCATTTCGGAGTCCCCACTCGGGGTCTGCAACTGCCACATGGCAGAGCTCGAGCGGGACTTCAGGAGTGAAGCATCACCCGAGCATCCTCCCCCAGGGCTGCTGGCACCGTCCCTGCTCACCTCGCCCATGGTGGGGTCATCAGCCTTGTAGGCGTCCAGCTTGTCCTGGATGAGCTGCGCCAGCATGGCATTGTCCTTGTAATCCCTGGAGGAGGCAGGAGGAGAGGTCAGCTCCCCGGGGCGGCTGGCTGTCGCCAGTGTGGGATGGGGAGGAGCTGCTGGTTTCCCTGTGCAACGTTCTTGGCTCATGGGAGAGGAGGGACCTGAGCAGGTTTTGTTGCCCCTTTCCACCTCTTCTTGGGGTGCCCTGCTTTGCCTTGGTGCCACTTGGATTTTAGGCTCCCACCTCCCCAGCTCTCCAGAGCATCACCCGAGTCTGAGCCTGTTTTTACCCTGAGCACGGGTGTCTGTCCGTCCCACCATCTCCATCCCCACGCCCTCGCCAGCATCGGACACAGCCTCATCCGTGGCCTGTGCTCAGCACTGCCCCAGCCCCACCGCGCTGCTGGGGGTGAGGGCAGGTCCCTGGGGGGGTGCAGACCACGCTGCCCTTACCCCCTGTACCGCACAGCCGGGTACTCCTTCAGTGTGGCGCACAGCGTGGCGATCTGCTCCGCCAGGCGCTCCAGGATCGGGTTCTTCATCTGGGCCTTGTGGGGGCTGTAAAAGCTTTGGAAGGAGTCGGCCGAATCCAGGGAGTAAACCTGGGAGGTGCAGCGGGAGGGAGGTTAGAGGGGATGTGCTGCAGGGGACGTCCGGAGGAGAGCAGCCCTGCAGGACACCCCAGTGGGTTTGGAAACCAGATTCAACCCCAGACAAAGGTCCCCAGTTGAGCCTGGGACCGGGCAGTCAGAGCTCAGTGATGCTCGGGGCATGGCTTGGGCTTTCGGCTGCCAGCTCTGGACCCCGATGCCTTCCCCAGCTCCGGCTCTGCAGCACAATCCCTACCCATGTGTAGCCCCCCGGGGTGAGCAGAGGAGGCAGGAGACCCCCTGCCCACAGCAGTCATCTGCTCTCAGGCAGGGAACCAGAGACCCAGGGACAAGTGGGGACACGCTGCTCCCTGGCTGTGCCACCAGTAAAGACCAGAAGCCAATTTGGCTGCGTGTGGGGATGCCAAGAGGTCATCTTCTGCCTGTCTCCTCCCCAGCAATGCTGAGCCTTGAAGGGTTAATGGCACCAAGTGGGTCCGGCACCATCTGTCCCTCCCTGTCCCCCTCGTGTCCCCATGTCGCCAGCACGGGGCCGGCTCCCCAGTGCCCTTGGCTGGGGGGCCTGCCGGGGGGGGGGTGCAGAGCCAGCCAATGTGGCTGCCGGCACGGGGCCAAGGCATGGTGCCTGCTAAATCCCCCGTGGCAGATCAGCCCCGAGAAGTAATCGAAGGAGACAGGGAGGAAGAGCTGAGCAGGAGGCAAGGAGCCGGCTGGGGGAGAGGGGTGTGAGGCTGCTACACAAACCCTGGTGGGCTGGAGAAGGACCCAGAGCATCCCCCGGCTGTCCCATCCCCTAGACTACCCCAGCGGCGACGGTCCCCAGCCCAGCCTCACCTGGGACTCGGAGGGGAGGAAGGCAATGTTGATCTCCGTCAGGGTTTTGATGACCTTGGCAGCACGGGATTTCACCAGCTCGTTGAAGAGGGCGTCGGGGCAGGCTGCAAGGAGAGGAGGAGGAGGGTAGCGCTCAGCATCCCAGCATCCCTCCATCCCCGCTTGCTTGCATGCATTTTAGTGACAGGGACTTTCCCTGCCCTCCGTTTCTTTCTTGGAGGAGGGCTGGCTGCCTGCAGCACCTGCCCTGGGGCACAGGGATCCAGCCACCCCTTTGGGAGCGGGTGATGGAAACCACCCGGCTGCACTTGCAGCCGCCCGGTGCCATGGGCAGGATGGGGCTGTCACCCCACGGTTTGCTCTTTCTCCTTCTCTCTTGCCCGGGAGGTGACAGTGGGGAGCCAGGGGTCCGGGGTGCCCAGGCAATGGGGTGGGAGCTGCGACCCCCAGATACTCACAGTCAGTGAAGAAGACGTGGGCAGCTCTGTACTTGGAGGTGGGGGGATCCTTGAAGTCGTTGATGAGGGAGTGGATGGACTGCAAGAGAGAAGGGAGCCGCTGGGCTGGGCAGGGGGGCACCGCGGGCATCCCGGCCGGGGCAACCAGGGGCCTCCCTCCCCCCTGGTCCACCGCCCCAGCGGCACCGTGTTGGCCTCGCTGGAGCCAAGATGCCATCCCCGGGTGGGCATCCCTCTGCTTCCCCCCAGCCAAAGGCCGTGCCCCCACACCGCGTATTCACCTTCTCGGAGGGGGTGATGAGATAGACGGCCTCCAGGCTGGGCAGCGGCTCCCGGCGCTTGTTGATGTCTTCCACGACTGGGGGGGAAAAATGGGGGCCGTGGCAGGGACGGGTGCAGGCAGGGGCACTCGGCTAGACAGGATTGTTGGATATCCCACGGCAGCACAGGACCAGCCCTGCCAACCCCTCCGTGTCCAAAATGTCCCCAGCCACCCTCCCCTGCCCAGCCGGGAGCTGGGACAGGGGCTGTCCCCACCCCATCCCAGCCCCACAGTACCCTGCTGGGGCTGCGGGCGTGGGTGCCTGGCAAGGTCCCGGTGGATTTGTCTGTGTGCTCCCATGCTGCTGGTTTATTCTCGCATCCCTCCGCTGGAGGGGACCGCCCGGGGGTGATGCTCTGGTGGTACCCAGGCTGGGGCAAACCCCCGCTGCCCGAAACACCTCCCGATGCACGGCCTGGGGTTTCCTTCTCCTTTCTGAGTGCTGCAGGGAGCTATGGATAGGGCTGACATAAAATAACACCTGGTCTCCTCCTCGGACTGAGATACTGCCAGGAGACAAGACGTTCGGGCTCCTCCAGCCCCAGCAGGCAAGGAGGGAGGCTGTGAAACATCAGCCTGGCACCAAGACAGTCTTCCATGAGCAATGAGAGATAGCGTGTCTCCATCCCAAGCGGGATGGGGCTGGGTGGGGGCCGTGCTTCCACCTCGACCGGCTTGTGCCAGCCTGGAGATGCCTTTGCGGGTCCCCTGGTACAGAGGGAGGTTTTGCCCTTCCTACAATGAGGTTTGCGAGAGATGGCTGGGACCCGGCACTCACTTGTTATGCCCTCCGTCATGATGTCGGTCATCTTGCAGCAGGAGGAGAGCATGCGCATGCTGAGCTGGTCCACCACCAGCACCTGGGGAGAGGGGCTGTGAGCTGGGGGCATGGCGGGCAGCCAGGGAACTGCCCTTCCCCACCCCTTCCCCACCCTTGGGGGCTCTCTGCCCACACCCACCCCTTCCCCCTGCTTCCTCCTTCCCCCCCCTCCTCCTCCTCTCCCTGACCCCCAGGGATTGGCGCTCACCTTCCATTCGCCCTTCTTCTTCACTTTCCGGATCACATCGTGCATAATCTCTGCAAGAGAGGGAGCACAGGGGTGGGTGAGCACCCCAAGTCCCCCCCTGTAGCACCCCAGGGCCCATCGGCAGCAGTGGGGTCTGCACCGGGGGCCCCGACCCCCCCTACCCGTGCACGGGGCCACGGCGAGCCCCACTCCCCCAGTGCCTTTCCTGGGAATATGGGGAGGAGATGAGGGGTGGTTTTGGGGTACCCAGGAAGGGGCGGTCACCCCCCAGCCCTGTTTTTCTCTTGTGCTTGGCACTAACAGACGGAGCCCACGCCGGTGGGGAGCCGCGGGCTGGCAGAGGG